GTCCTACTGGGGTGAAACCGGGCGACCTACACAGGCTGGGGAACACTGGATCTATTTGTACTTGGGAACATCGGACCTTCCTATACAACGAATGTCCGGACCTGTTCAAAGGGCCTTCTTGCGGCGGCACCTCAGGCAGTATCGGGCGCGCTGCTTGCCTTTCACCTGCTTCTCGTGAAATTTGCTCTTGCAATTGCGGCAGGTTTGCTCATCCTTCTGCCGGGTGCCACGGGACGCGCAATTGAGGCACCGCGGCACCGCTCCTTGCCGTCTGGGCTGAGACTGCCTGGCAGCAGCTCGCCACAAGCCCGGCACTTGGACTAATTCTTTCGGTCCCTCTTGGCACCTTTCTCCTTTATCTCATCCTGACAGGCTTTGCACACAACGCTTTCCACCGGGAATGTCACCATATTGGTGTTGAAGTGCTCAACGGGCTTTGGCTCATCGCACTCATTGCATTTCAGCTGGGTGATGGTCCTGCAGCAGGAAAGGCACTTCCTGTCATCCTCCTGCTTCAGTTGCGCTCTTGGAAAGGCATCCTCTATCTTGGCCAGCTTGCAGGCGCTGCATGGGTACTTGATGGCTGTGTCGAGCTTGCGCTTGCGCGGCCCATCCTTGCCATGCTTGCAATGCATGCACATGGCTGGCATGTTGGCCCGCACCTTCTCCCACTGCTCGTGCTCGAAGCCGTCGAGGTGCCGGACTTGGTGACAATGAGAGCAAACTGCATGGGGGTGCAAGCCTTCGGCATAGGCGACCAAATCCACATCCTCGCCCCGCAGTTTCTGAAGAAGGAGCTTGGGCCCGTCGGGGACGCCGCACTGGAAAAGCCACAGCGGGAAAGGACGAAGGATGAGGCAGTCCTCGCGGCTGCGGACCTGGCTCGCCCCAACTGCGCCGATGGTGGTGTCCACGCGCTTGTCCACACTGAGGTCCAACATGATCGCGCGTTTGGTTTTCGCTTGGCTTGCATGCGCTGTGATGGCAAAGGCCGGGGTGAGCGGGATTTGTCGGCGCTTGATCTTGAGCACGGAATGCTTCCTCTTGCCGTCCAGGTACCAGTCTTCCTTCCTTGGGCGGATGGGGTAGACACCGGGCTCATCGATGCCATCTAATTGCCACGTTGCCCCTTCGAATTTGACATATACACAGGTCGGCACGCGATGTGCGAGGCGATCATTGTCGGACCACACCCAGGAATGCACGCGGCCCGCGGTGCCCTTCAGGAGCATCTTGTCCGGCGACCTGTCCAAATGATGCGTCAGAGCAACCGGCATGCCTATGGCCAGAGGCAGCATGCCGCACAGATCACCCGTGTCGCGGTCATGGTATTGCAGCCACCTGCAGGCACGGGGCGCTTGGTAGATGCAGGGGCACATATGTGGAAGTCTGGATAGGAAAGAGTTAATTTCTTTTCAAGGTCCTTGGTTCACTTCTTTCTTTTGCTTTTGGCTGAGGGGCTCAGTGGCAAATAATTATTCACGGCTTAAAGCCAGACAACGGAGCGCTCGTTTCACTTTCGTATTTTTTTCTTTGACTGCGGGCCTGATCTTTGCATCTTTGTCACAGGGGTCTGCTTGCAGTGCCGCTGACGTTGCTTCATTACGGGCTACAGACCAATAAAGTGGGGCCCCGGCTGCTTGGCTGTATTGCTTGGCCCTGTCCTAATGATGAATCAGTTGACATGTCACTTAGCTTGTTTGAGGGAACCTGCCGGTCTATGACTGCAGATTTCAGTTCAAGGTGTGGCCTCTCTCACTTTGCCCAAATCATGGCAGGGGGCATCGGACTGAGAGAGGTGAAACAATGCAGCGATGACAGCTTCCAAAGCCTGTGGGATGGTGCAGGTGATCACATCCTGTTTGAGTGCCTGGATGATGGAGGCCAACCTCAGGGCTATGCTGTTGCCCGCATCATGACTCAGTACCATGGGGACAAAGACGGTGGTTTCCTGAAACTGGAGTATGTGGCAGCTTCAGATGAATATTACCAACACTGGATTATTTCAGAAGGCGGCTCAGGACAGTATCACCACGTGTGCCGAAAGAGCCTGGGTGCCTGTCGACGCAAAGTTGGCGAAAGTGGTCTTGTGCATATTCAGAAGCTAGCCTTTGTGACTTCGGCTGATGTGGACAGCATAGTCAAGGAATGGAATGCCAAGAGGTTGGACAAAGGACCTCCCGTAGGACGGGGTACGGCGCCAGTGAGCTCAAGGGGGCGCCCTGGGGATCACTTGACAACCGCCTCCAAGAGGAAGGCCAAGCGCCCCCCGTCCTATGAGGAGACGTCACCCAGGCGGACCCGAGCAGAACCAGGACTTTGGAAGTGAAGACAGCAAGGACGAGCGAGACCAGGATGCAGGGCGCTCGAATGCAAGGCGTCGTAGACGTAGGAGGCACTCCTCGCGCTCCCCCCGGTGTAGGCCGGAGGAGGCTAGGGGAAGGGTAGGTGAGTTCTCCAGGAAACGCCAGGAGGCAACCAAGCCCTCGCCCCTGGACGCGATGCTGGGGGATGATCTGGAGGACCCCCTGCAGAATGACAGCAGGTTGGAGCAGCTTCGTGCCAGCTTGGAGGACAGGAAGAAGAAGCCGGAGGAGAAGACTTCCGCCAGTGCAGTGCTGGTGCAACGCGTGCAAGATGGTTTGGAGAGGAATGCCCAAAAGAAAAAGAAGAGCAGTGAACAGGAGAAGGTCACCAAGGCCCTGCAGGTGCTCCGCGGCAAAAAGAACCAAGAGGAGTCGAGCAGTTTGAAAAGTGATAGTGAGGATGATGAGCTGCAGGTGAGCAAGAAGCACGACTTGACCAGCCGTCAGCGGAAATTGCGCAAGCTGTCTGCTGACAACCCAGGAACACTCCTGGTGCGGGGCTTCAGCTTGATGCATGAGCAGCTTGGTATGCTGTATGGCGATGCGGCTTCCATTGGCTCAAAAGCAGAAGCTCTCCAACCAGCCGCACTGCGATACCTGCTGACCACGGCAATCCCTCAGATGGATCCGAAGCAGGTAGGTGAGGAGACAATGAGGGAGCTGAGGACATTGGCAAGCACGCTGGACTTGGTCGTCAGTGGACGGGTGCTGATGGCTGCTGACATGCTGATGCAGAGGTACAAATCCATCTTTATGTTTATCTGGATCACTCCACGGCTGCATCGAAGTACTTGGAGCTCATCCCACTTGAGCTGCACCCAACTGCATCGACGCTGGAGGAGTCAGACTTTGCTCGCAGCATGGCGGTCAAGGATGCCAAGAGCAGCGAATTGCTGAAGAAGGCAGCTGCCCTGGGCTAGGGATTCGGCGGGGAGGTGGCAGGGCGTTCACAGCCTGCACCTCCTCAACGCCACCCCAGCCCCCATACAACTGTGAAGACAGAAGCTCCACTGAGCCCGAGGAGGAAGCCAGCGTTGCGCGGCCAAAAGCCTTCACCTTCGAGGAGCAGGAGCCCCTTGAAGAGACAGGTGAAGTTCCAGGACCCGCTGACCAGCGTCATCCCGGAGCCAGCACAGGATCCAAGACCGGGTCTGATGAGGATGAAGGACGCACGAGAAGCCGTGCCCAGGAAGGAGAACGAGAGCAGATCCCAATGGAAGAACCGTGTCTTCGAGCACAAGAGACGAGAGGAGGAGAAGCATGGTCAGGGGGGACGCTCGAAGGGCAGCGGCAAGAGAGGCTGAAGCCCCCTGTGGCGGCAGGGGATGTGCTGAGTTGCCCTGTGGCGGCAGGGCAACGAATTATATCCGCCCCTGTGGAGGCAGGGGATGGACCAGCTGAGAAACCAGCCCTTGTGGTGGCAAGGGGCGTTGCAGCAGGTCCACAAGATGAGTCTGCAAGGCCAGACTGCCGTGGTGCTGAGACGACTGAGCTCAGTGTAATGCGCGGGAAATGTTTACAAGTTCCTGGGGAGGCCCGCACAGCTTCCCAGGTGACTAGTGTGCCTGATTCCTTAGCGTGCAATGAAATTGGAGGTGGATGTGACCTTAACTGTTTCTTGAACACTCTAAATGTCAGGCTGTTGCAGGCATCCTCATTCAAGTGTTTATGCAAAAGGATTAGCACCTTCAAGCCAACCGTTTTACAATTGGGTGTGTCTTTGCTGCAGCTCCAGCTGGTGAGCCCACGAGATGGGCAATGTTTAAGACAATGGTTTTTGGATCAGATGTCTTTTACCTCCACTGAACCATCCCGGGTCAGAGACATTTTGCCGTTGCCTCTGCCCCCTGTTGGAGCTGCACTCAAGCTGATAGGATGCGCCAGATCTTTTTGCGATGGTTTGTTGTGTGTGGCAGACTTGGCCACCGACGGGCTGAAAAAGAGGGGACGACAGCAGCGTAGGAAGGTTCTGGTTGAGGGCTCCCTACAAGTTTGGCGATGTCTGGTGATAATAGTTCTTAATGGGATGTGTTGCAACTGGACTTATGAGGGGAACACCAACAAGTACCTTACAGAGCTTCAACGTACTGCTATGGACAATATT